ATCAAGAGTAATGTGTCTACTATAATATAAACCAAATAATGTATTCTTAGAAAATAGTAAGAACTAAAAGAACACCACTATAGGTGCCTGGAAGAGAAAAAGAATATTAGAGCTATGATATTCAAAGAATTTCAAAAACCACATTAAATAAAAAAAAAATTAAACTTCTCTAAAAAATAGGAAGAAAAAAAGGATAATATGCCTACAAGAATGCAGACATCTCAGAATATACCAAGAGTAATGCATTCACTATAATATAGACTAAATAATATATTCTCAGAAAGTACTAAGAACTAAAAGAACACCACTATAGGTCCCAGAAGAGAAAAAGAAAATTAGAGCTATGACATTTAAAGAAATTCAAGAACCATATTAAATAAAAAAAAAAATTTATACTTCTCTAAAAAATAGAAAGAAAAAAAAGAATAATACATCTACAAGAATATAGATGCCCCAGAATATACCAAGAGTAATACATTCACTATAATATAGACTGAATAATACATTCTCAGAAAGTATTAAGAACTAAAAGAACACCACTATAGGTGCCTAGAAGAGAAAAAGAATATTAGAGCTATGATAATCAAAAAAATTCAAGAACCACATTAAATAAAAAAAAAATCATACTTCCCAACTAACACTCTATTTAAATGCATCTTTATTTAAATCTACAAGGAATTCCTTACTTTACTTCTTAATAAATTGCTATTAAATAATTTCTAATGCCTTCTTTAGATCTGAAAGTGATTCCACTCTTGTTAAATTGCTGTTTTATTATTTGAACTGATTTCTACTCTTTCTTTAGATCTGGAAGTGATTTAAATCTTTAGTAAGGTTTAAACAAACTACTGGAGAATCTGATACCTTACTGGTAATAAAATAAAATCTTAAGCTTTTAATATTCATAAAGTTAAATTTGTATTTTGTAAGAAAATCAATGAGAATCTAGTAATAATGATAATCATATACAAAGTTTAAATTAGATTAAGATTATATATTATCTGATTTAGAAATTAAGATCATCAAATTTTTATTAAGTATTTGATCATCAAATTTTTATTTAATTTTGGCAAGCACTATTTTGAACAGCTTTGTATAGCAGATAATAAAATCTTATTAGAGTGGCAACACTTATTACCCAGACTATTACACTTCTTCAAAGAGAAAAAACCAATATGGTTTATCTTTTTAGAAAATAGATTATTAGCTGATTAACTGTACTACACTATATATTTGTATCTTTAACCACAGGCACCAACCTATTCACTTACCAGACCAATCTTGTATACAAAACTTGCAAACCTTAGCTCCTTATTTATTCAAATAACCAAATTATTATAGAACAAGTCAAAAAATACTTCAAATAAGTTAACACCATCTCTATTATCTACTAAACTTGCAATATTGATACTTCTCAATGCTATAAATACTCACTTCTATCTATTTTATACTAACTATACACAGTATATAATCTAAACTCCAACTGGATTCAAAACCAGTACATACTTGAAGTCTTTACAACACTTTTAACACAGTTTTTGAGAAAAAAAATAGCTAACAAGGCCTTAAAACTTAATACTAACTACATTGATCTAATCTACTCAATAGCTATTAAATACTTCTAAATATCTTAGCCCTTCTAACAATAAATATTGTAAACTTCCTAGTACTATCAACATTCAAAAACAGCCCTGCTTTTCAAACTCTAATACAATTTGTTTAAGCTAATTCAAGTTATAATACTTTTATATTCTATACTGATAGCTCTGTAACTAGAATTGGCACTAACTTATATTCTATAAATAGGTTGAATTCCGGTCTAAAACAACTATATAACTCAAGAATTTTTAGCCAAAATCACAAATTGGCTATCATCTTGCAAAGCTGAATTAAATGCAATTTTAGCAGCTATTTTTATAGTCCCTTGGAATGCAGTTGCAAAAATTTATACAAACTTCTAATTAGTTATTTCAAAATATAATAAACTTCTCAATACATCTTTATAGTCTACTAAATATCTAAAACTAAAATGCTAGCCTATTTGGCGGATGATTCTTAATTTCATTGAATCTTTTAATCTCAAATTTAGATTAATCAAAGTTTTAGCATATTCAAACAAAAAATTAATGACTATATTGGCTTACTAGCAAGACAATATCTAATTTTAAATACTCTTAGCACTAATTTTAGCAATATTTACAACCTGGCATTTATTCTTTAATAAAAAAAATACACTATTAAAAGCAATAGCAGAGTTTGTATTAAAAACACTATAGAGCATATATAAGCTACAATCTAGCTCTTACAAAGATGTAACTTAGAGTAGTCTAACTTTACTAACAAAATAGACTAGGACTCTACATGGCTTGTAGCAGAAGGAAGAAGAACCTCAAAACAAGTATCTAATATTGACTTTGATACTTTATTACAAAAAACTTCTTAAACACAATCAACAGGTTTATCAAATTATTTAGAATCTACAACTATTAAAACTTCATTAACTATAAGTTTTGAAGAAACTGCTAATAATAGTGATGAAAATATATACAACAAAAACAAGTTATAAAATTAGGAAAAAGAAAAGTTGTAGAAGAAGGTAAAGAAGAAGAATCTAAAAATAATTCTGATAATACTGATAATAATAATAATAATAATAATGATAATGATGATAATAATAATAATAATAATCACTCAACTCTCCCCAACGATCCCTCATACCAACTTCTCCAAAAAGGCTGACCTACGAAAACTATACAGTTAATATGT